TTGATGGGGTTCTGGGCTTCTTTTGGCTTATCCTTTCTACACCCTCACCAACCTCTTTGTCCCGAGCTTTTAGATCCTCAATAGATTCTTCCTTCTGCTTGTACTCCTCCAATACGTCACAAATTTGATTCCAAATTCTTTCCAACTCCCCTTGTTTTCCTTCTTTAATCACACTACCCCTCCCTTCTTCATAACCTATAACAAGCATAAAACGTGTATCAGTAGCAAAAATTGAATTTACAGGGTTACGCGAGTACACAGGAATCAAGAGGTGAACTATAAGGGTTGGGAGCCCCACATTGGAAATCCCAAGCAAGACCCTTCCATTTGCTTGTTGTTGTGAAGGAGTTGTACGAGAAGAGGACACTTATGATAATTGAGCTTTGGAAATGACCTTAGGTGGCTTTCCCCTTACTGGTGTTGCGAAGCAATCCTCCCTGGTGATTTCCTGCCCTTGTATGCTAATATCCTAGGGAAGACGAGATACCAGGATAGGATCCCTTGCCAGTGGAGGGGATCCCTATACACCATCCAATGAATGTCATTCGGTGACAGTTTGACATCAGCAAGTCATCCTATAGGAGAAGATTAGTAGAAAAGAGTGCCCAAGAGCCTCTACCTACTTTGATACCAAAATGTCAATCTAGGGTTTGTAGAGAGAGAGAGGAAGGATAGAGTTCTTTCGAATGAGATTGGCGTTACTGTTCACACCCTTAAACTTGATATTTATATTTTGAAGAAAAAATTACAAGAAAGCCCTTACTTGGGTCCCCAAATACAAAATGATAAGGAAAAAAACCAAAAAAAAAAACCCTTGCCCAAGCATTCTCAACAGTTTTTTTTTTTTTTTTTTCACTAGCATCTTCAGAACCAAGGTTTTAAAAATCTACGTGGAAAAGGAACTGCTTTGGCCATTGGTTTTCAGATCAGTAGTTCAACTATCTGGTCCAAATGGATCTTCCGTGACGTTTTGGAAAATAAAAATAAAAATGACAAAAAACCATTCATCGGTTCGAATGGTTTAGTGGTTCAACCATCTGGGTTGGTAGTTTGTTGACCAAGTATTTTTTTTTTTGTAAATTTTGGGCCAAGTATAAAACGGAACCAAACAGTTGACCGGTTTTCAGGTAGAACAGTTCACTGCTCTGGTCAACAGCAGTTTTAAAACCATGTTAGGGACAAGAGGTTTTAAACTAAGATTAAAGCAGAATATAGGCAATGTAAAATTAATAGTAATAGGAGTGGAAATCAAGGTAATATTAGGACTAAAACCAAAAGATATCTTAATTTGACCTCTTTTAGTTACCTTGGTTAGGCATAAATAGGGAGATATTAGGAGAATTTTCCCCATAGAATTAGGGGATTACAGGTAAAATGGAGAGGTTCACTGTAACTCCAATGCACAATAGAATACCACTTAGGCTAAAAGGAAGATTTTGTAAAATGTGTATAAAGCTAGAAATGTTGTACAAAGGGTATTGGGTAATCAAGAAATAACATGTCTAAAATGAGTTTAGAAGAAACAAGAATGTTGAAATGGATGGGTGGAAAACTTCAAAGGATAGGACAATAAATGAACATATTCATAGGAACCTAGGAGTAGCCCTAATAGGTAACAAAATGAGAAAAAGTACACTATCTGACACACTGGCTGTACACTATCTTCTTGGACCATCACTTAACAGTGGTACATCTATCTGACACACTGGCTGTAATTTACTACATATTAGAAAGTAGTCTATTATGTGATTATGGCACTCATATCGTGGATAGTTGCAGTTGGGCCCACCTCACTGGCAGAGAAGAGAGCAGTTACTCAAGCTATTTCTAGGAATCCTCTACTACCACCAGGTAAGAGGAAAACAAAACCAGTTTTGCAACTTGCAAGACCTGCCTGACCTGGATGATCTCTGTCCTGAGACCTGACAGCAAAACCAGATGAAGAACAAATCAGGTCCAGGACTTCTTTTTCTTTTTTTTCTTCAAGAAAAGGTTAGATAATACATTATTTATATTTATTCATGTCTTAAATATGTCTAATATATAATTTTATGCTTATTTTAAGATAATTTTCACTTTATATATAAAAGATAATTGGGCAAACTGTTCACAGTCTAGCCAGTTGGACCATTTGATGAGAACCAATTCCTTGCAGCTAGTTCCCAGATTTTGGGACAAAACCACCAATCAAATTTCCATTGTCCATCTACCCTATCTGCAAACAATATAAAATTTCCAGATAAAAGTTCATGAATTGTCTGATTTTGTGTTTACTTGACTTTTGCAAATTATTGAATATACTGGAAGGTTCTAGGTCCTGACATGCTTTCTTTGTGTCTTTCAAATGGCTTGTTGTAACTACTTGTAGCGCCTGCTCAAGCTCAAGAAAGTCAGCCTGCTCAGTCCACTAATAATCTTCTTGGAAAAGCTGTTAGTTGTATTATATAACATACCCTCACTTTTGCTCACTTCCAAATATGAATGTGGATTCCATTAAGAAATTAATTTACTCATGTATTGCCTTCTTGCAGTCAAACCAATCCCAGTACCAGATATTCATAGGAACCTGGGAGTAGCCCTAATAGGTAACAAAATGAGAAAAAGTACACTAAAATGGTTTGATCACAAATAGAGGAGACTATCTACAGAACCAATGAGAGGTGATCTATTCCAATTTGAAGGATTTAGAAAAGCCAAGGGCAGACCACAGGACAGGGGTTGAAATAGTGAGAAATGATTTGAGGGCCCATACTGTAACAATGGATACAACATTGAACAGAGTCAAATGGCGGAAGAAGACTCGTGTAGCCAACCCCATATAGTTGGGACAAGGTGTAGGTTGGTTGAGTTGAGGGGAAAAAACCTAGATCAAACGTTTTCTAAAAGCTAAAGCATGATATCAAAATTTTCTGTGGGACGAAAGCACCCATAACCTTGTACTAATTCTTGGGAAATGAAGTGTTACATTTCCATTTTCCCTCTTTCAGAAAAATCCATCATACCATTTTGTTATGTTCTTTAGTCTTGCATTTTGTTATGAAATATTCATTCTATTGGAAATTGTAATTTTATAGCTATTTTTTTGTAAATAATTATGATAGCTTTAAAATAATTAATAAATCTGAATTATTAGCAGCATTGTGCAGCTTGCAATTGGGAAAACCATTGGGTTTCAAGCATGTAATAATAGAAGGGTATTCAAAGCTTGTGATGGGATGGAGAAAAGATAATTGTCAAGTGGCCATTGCAGTACCAACATGTTATGAGGAAAATAAAACACTTAGCGAGGGAAATTGAAGCAAGTTTTTCATGGGTACCTAGATCTAACAACAACCTGGCAGATGCTCTAGCCAAGAAAGGGCTGAAAAGGAGTCAATTGTTTTGGGCACAAATGTAATGTAATCATCAGCATTTTGGGTAGTAGGCTAAGCCTACAATCTCTTTGGGATGCATGGCATATATTGTACATAAATCATTCTTTTGATGATTTCCTTCTGTTATCAATCTAAAAAACTTAAAAAATAATAATTATTAATTTGACATTGGAAATTTTCATATAAAATTATAGTAAAAGGGGTAACAAGTCATAGAATCTGGCTCTGTTTTCCATCTATTGGTGATTTTTGAAAGAAACAAACAACAGAACTTTTGAGAACAAAATCCATGTGTGAATCAGGTGTTGATTGGTCATAGTGAAAGAACTATTGTTGAGTGAGTTTCCATCCTCAAGGATTTTGATGGCCTTCAATTTTCAAATTTCTGTAATAGCTTGTTCCAAGGCTTTTACCCCTCTTTTTTTTGGATTTGGCTTAAATTCCTTTAATTAGCAGAAAGTGGTTAAATGCCATGTTTCATTATAAGGGTGACTCTGCTAACTTATTTTGCAGGTCAATCATTAAAATTTACTGATAGCGGTATTGTTCAATATGACAAAGGTCTTCATGGTCCAGCTGATAAGAGGAGGCGGGTTCAACCACCTAATGATGGTATCTTTCACGTTTCTTACCAAGACTAGATGTTTTAAAACGTGTTATGTCTTCCAAAAACTTAGCTGTATTGTTACTAATTCCCATGTTTTAATAAAAGATGAAAGATAATTCTGATTTTCACTATATCAGGTTAGGTGATTTTGTGCCTCACATCCAAAAAGAAATTTGATTAGGAAGGGCTTAAAGGAGCAGTGATTTATCCAAGATGGAAAAAATTATACAACTTATATGGAATGTTCTTGCTTGTATGGCTGTCACTATAGCTCACTGGTCATGGATTCACTCAAAGTTAGATTCCACAATAAAATGGACTCAATTGATCAATACATATATGATATATTACCAATCATAATAAATGCATAGATGGGAGGGAGTTCAATATTTATAATTACAGGATTTCCATACACTATTCATGACTATTCTAATTTAGTTGGTTAAATTTACCATAACCATGAGAGTACTTGAACTCTTAGTTCCACTATGGTTTTGTCAGTCTAAAAATGATTTTTATGACTCTTTCCCAGATCAAACTCAAGGAAGACAGATTGTTCGGTCTGCTAATAATCTTCTTGGACCAGCACTTAACAGTGGTACATCTATCTGACACACTGGCTGTAACTTACTACATATTAGAAAATAGTCTATTATGTGATTATGGCACTCATATCGTGGATAGTTGCAGTTAGGCCCACCTCACTGGCAGAGAAGAGAGCAGTTACTCAAGCTATTTCTAGGAATCCTCCACTACCACCAGGTAAGAGGAAAGCAAAACCAGTTTTGCAACTTGCAAGACCTGCCTGACCTGGATGATCTCTGTCCTGAGACCTGACAGCAAAACCAGATGAAGAACAAGTCAGGTCCAGGATTTCTTTTTCTTTTTCTTTTTTTTTTCAAGAAAAGGTTAGATATTACAGTGTTTATATTTATTCTTGTCTTAAATATGTCTAATATATAAGTTATGCTTATTTTAAGATAATTTTCACTTTATATATAAAAGATAGCTGGGCTGACTGTTCACAGTCTATCCAGTTGGACCATTTGATGAGAACCAATTCCTTGCAGCTATTTCCCCGATTTTGGGACAAAACCACCAATCAAATTTCCATTGTCCATCTACCCTATCTGCAAAACATATAAAATTTCCAGATAAAGTTCATGAATTGTCTGATTTTGTGTTTACTTACTTGACTGTTGCAAATTATTGAATCTACTGGAAGGTTCTAGGTCCTGACATGCTTTCTTTGTCTTTCAAATGGCTTGTTGTAACTACTTGTAGCGCCTGCTCAAGCTCAAGAAAGTCAGCCTGCTCAGTCCACTAATAATCTTCTTGGAAAAGTTGTTAGTTGTATTATATAACATACCCTCACTTTTGCTCACTTCCAAATATGAATGTAGATTCCATTCAGAAATGAAATTACTCATGTATTGCCTTCTTGCAGTCAAACCAACCCAACACCAGATATAAGTGAGCTTCTTCGAACTACCAATATTCCTTGAGGACGGCGAGGTAGGAAGGGCGATAGCCAACCAACAGGAACTACTTCCCAGATTACAAGTAAAAGGATCACTCCTCAATCTTGCACTGCTCCATCCTTGTCTGTAAGGCAGACTGATCCCGTCCACCATATCAAGTGGAAAGGTATCTCTCCATCATCTCCTTTTTCAGGTTTCTAGCATGTTAAGATTTTAAAAACTGCTCACATACAGGAATAGATTTCTGGATTTAAAGCCTAAACTTCCTTTTCTTGTGTCTTATGGATTTTCTTCTTCCATGTGGTACACATGGTCACCAATTTGGACAATCCAAAATTGCCTCATCCCTTGGTGAGGGAAGCCAAGGATTTACGCTGTTTTTTATTTACCTGATTAACTGCCAAGTCTAACAGTTTGGATGTTTATCCAAACAAAGGCTTATATAAGGTTATTTGTGTTTGTCATAACATTGGTAATTTTCCCTCTGCGGGTTCCAGCTATGGTCTTGAAAGTGCTTGAGTGATTATGGACACAGCCTTCTAGCTAATCTGGGTTTGTCAAAACAGCATAAAATTTGTTATCGTTCAGCTTGTGAAATTCTATGGTATTTGAAGGATCTGGATTGATGACATAAATGCATCCAAAATATATGGTACAAAAGGATGAGAATTTCTAAAATGGGGTAGTTTTGGGTTTTGATGGAAGAGCAAGGATTAAAATATCAATACACACCGATGCTTAATATCGGTATGGCCAATACTCCATTTTAATTTTTTCTTTATAATAATTAGAGGGTCCTAGAAAAAGTCTTAGATCCTTTAAACTTCTAAAAATGTGTGTATCGGTGTAACCAATCGTATCTGGACACACCAATATTGATACGATACACCCGATCATATCTATACTTCAGTCCTTGTGTAAAAGGAATACTTGCATGTACAATTTGTCTTTTGGGAATGTTGAATGAAAGCATTTAATAAAGAACTTATGGGATGTTGTATAGTTGTCAAGGCGGGTGCCTAGGCGACAAGGCACCCTTGGAGGCTCACCTCGCCCAGTCACCAAGTAGTTTTGTGTACTATGTTATAAAATACTTTTATATGTATTTTTTTTACATTATAATTATAAAATAGGCACTGTTAAACTAGAATACTCATTTTATGTGTTTATGTACTAATTTCTTTTTATTATTTTCTTATTTGTTAGGGTTTAATCAACACAAACATTGCTAACTGCTGTATTGAACCCATGGTTCAAAGTATCGATACACCTGTGTATCGACAGGGGTGTATCAGTACTAATAACAATACTCCTCCTATTTTTTTTATTTCTTTGGTTTTCAATTTCATTTTAATATATATATATATATTATTTTAAAAAATTGGGTTCTTGAAAACACCTGTAGACGTGTATTTGGGCGCTAAAGATACAATACAATACACCCGATATGGGGCGTGTCATATCAAAGTTTTGATCCTTGATTGAATCCTCAAAGATTCCAGAACCTGAACCAATAAGCAAGGGAAAAACTTAAAATTTTGTCTAATCAACACATTTTCTTCTTACAGATCTTCTTCTTCCACATTTTCTTTTCTTCTTTTCCTATAAGAAAAGAAGTAGTGTTGGAATTTTCTTTCCATTGTTCCTTTTCTAATCAACACATTTTCTTCTTACAAATCTTCTTCCACCTTTTCTTTTCTTCTTTTCCTATAACAAAAGTAGGGGTTCAGCCCCTATATTTTTTTAATTTTCTTTCCTTTGTTCCTTTTCTTCTCATAAAGTGTTGATTTTCTAAACGTAAAACATGAAATTTATACTTTTCTTATGAAAATTAGGGATAATTATTAAGGAAAGATCATAGTTGTCAAGGTGACGCCTATGCGACAAGGTGCCCATGGAGGCTCGCCTCGCCCAATCGCCTAGCAGTTTTGTGCACTGGGTTATAAAATACTTTTATATTTTTAATTTTTTGACATTATAATTATAAAATAGACATTATTAAATTAGAATATTCATTTTATGTGTTTATATATTAATTTCTTTTTATTATTTTCTTATTTGTTAGAGTTTAATCAATGCAAGCATTGCTAACTACTGTATTGAATCCATGGTTCAAAGTATCGATACACCTTTGTGTATCCAGAGGTGTATTAGTACTTGTAACAATACTCCCCCTATTTTTTTATTTCTTTGCTTTTCAATTTCATTTTTAAATATATATATATATATTATTTAAAAAAATGGGTCCCCGAAAACACCTATAAACAGGTGTATCGAGACCCCAAAGATACAATACATACACCGAATACAAGGCGTATCATATCAAAATTTTGATCCTTGATTTAACGCTCAAAAATTTCAAAACCTAAACCAATAAGCAAGGGAAGAACTTAAAATTTTGTCTAATCAACACATTTTCTTCTTCCACATCTTCTTCTTCCACCTTTTCTTTCCTTCTCTCCTATAACAAAAATAGGGATTCTGCCCCTATATTTTATGAATTTTCTTTCCTTTGTTCTTTTTCTTCTCATAAAATGTTGATTTTCTAGACTTAAACATGAAATTTATACTTATCTTATGAAAATTATGAATAATTATTAAGGAAAGATGGTTATGGAATCTAGGGAACTACCCTATGGTTTTACTTACAAAAAATCCATCGCCTAGGCGACAAGGCACCCCCCTATTGCCTAGCCTCGCCTTGGCACCTTGAAAACTATGGGAAAGATGGTTATGGAACCTAGGCAACTACCCTAGGATATATGAGTTTACTTAAAAAAAAAATCCATCGCCTAGGCGACTAGGCGACAAGGTGCCCCCCTGTCGCCTAGCCTCGCCTTGGTGCCTTAAAAACTATGGGCTGTTGTCAAACCAGATGTTGAATGTTGCTGCTTAAGCCTGGTTAGATACTTGAGCCAGGACGTTCCATCAATTGACCGAAATGAGGTTCTGGGGCGACTGTCGCAGATGACTGGAAGTGTCTAGCTTAATCCGTTCCACATAAATGCTATACTATTATGATTATGTGATTTTGTTATTGTTTGAATAATTGATTGTGATGATAGTTGGGACAGGGATGATGATGAATTGATTGTGGTAATAAACTTTTCACAGGTTTCATGGAAGAATCCCCTTAACCAAAGAAAGAGAAATGTGGTTTATGCAAAATGAATATCGAACTTGTACCAATAGGTTCTCAGTCCCAAGCTTCCAGTCATCAAAAACCTGCAGTTTTGCCATGAAGGCATACTTTTCATGCTGACTGTTTAGAGCTCATCACCACCAAGGAGCAGTCAAAAGACCCTTCATGCATTTCTTGTGCCCTTGGCGATGTCCCAAGCCCTCCCAAATGACTGCCCACTCATTCACTTATTTTGTTTCTCTTATGAAAATTTTGTTCTGTAGTTTGTTGGCAGCAGCTGAATAGTGGTGGAAAGGATATACCAACAAATGTAGATAGGTGATATATTGAAATTGAGTCTGATAACAGTGTGTACATAATCTGTAAATCCTTATACCAGGAGTCTCTTGATTAATTGGGAATAGATTCAGCTTACAGAGAGAGCAAATTTATACAAAACTTTTTTATCAGCATAGAAATGATCAGTGAGACCACACAAGTGTAATTGTTATACTATGAATTTTTTTCTGAATATGTAATTTGTTTCTGAATGATTCTAGATATCCAATGCAAGCAGTCTTTTGTCAATGTCGAGTATTAAATAAATATGTAACTAATTAAGAAAATTGTTGAGCCAAGACAATTCTACCTTTCAAGGGGCGCACAGATGCTGCTGAGCAATGGTTGTCTCTTTAGCTTATTGTAAGTATATCCTTGTGGAATATGAAATTCTGTTTCTCGTAATTGTGTGGAATTTTGATGGTAATACAGTTACAATAGTCTACACATAAAGCCAAGTTGGCAAAGAACCGTGTTTGTGACACCATTTCCTCTCAGGCCCTCAACCCTGGCTGAAATATTGGGTTCTTTGCTTGGATTAGGGTCTTTTTTGGGGGGGAGGGGGATTGTAGATTAGTACGATGTACTTTGGGCCTAGTTTTACTTTAGTCTCCAAACTTTAAAACATGTTAATCCAGTATCTAAACTTCCAAAACGTGCTAGTTTAGTACCCATCATTAATCAGCTGCCAGTTGTGTATCACATGACATCATGTTTGACTTAAAATTTTTGAAAATGTCAAAATTACCTTTCAAGGAAATGGTATGAGTTGAGAAATAGAGATCAGAGAAAGAGAGAAAGAGAAGAAGAGAGATGGTTCAAACAAGGTTCAAAGTATAGACATGTATCAACCTGTATCGGCTGATACATATCATTCCAGGACCCCTCTGATATGCCCCTATAGTGGGTGTATCGGGTGTCTGACCGGTTCGGGGGGGTGGAAGAGTCCTAAACTGGCCCCCGTGAACCAGTTTCGGGAAAAAAACAAGGTATCAATTCGCCCAATACACCCCTACCGGCATATCAAGTGTATCGATATTTTGAGCCTTGGGTTCAAACTTCTTAGGAGAAGGGCATTTGGATGGTTGATAAAGAAAATTAGATGAGACTTGAAGGACATTTGTCTTTTCACATGCCACTTAATGGCTGATTAACGGTAGGTATTAAGTTGGCACATTTTAGAAGTTTAGGTACTGGGTTGGCAACGTCTTAAAGTTCGGAGAACAAAGTGAGACTAGGCCTAATGTATATGGTACTAATATCCAAATTTCTCTTTTTTTCTAGTAGAAACCTTGGATTAGGGTCGACACATTATGCATGAAGGTTGTTGATTTGTGATGGTTACTCTTATTTAGTGTATTATTGACCCTGAAAACTAATGTATCATACCGATTCTTTGATCCTTGGGTGATGTAATTTTGTATGGATACTTTAAACCTTCCATTGGATTAGCATTTTCCAGCAACTTTAACTCAACTGTCAACCAAACTTTTTTTTCTGGTCTGGTTGGAAAGGGTTGACCCAACTCGAGCTTGGGCCATGGGCTGTGTCGGACCAAATTTGAAACAAAAATAGGCCAGAGTTTACACCCAAATCATTTGCACTGTCATGGTTTTGCATAAGTGCAAATTTATTTGCATTGCAACCAAACACAGAACGTTCAAAATGATTGGTAAAATACATTCTATCTCCAACTCCCAGGTTTACAGCTGCTTTGAGAGCTCTCAAAATGATGGTTTGCTTTACTAGCGATAAGGAACCGGTGATGACAAGGATGTTGAGATGATTTCTTGCGCTTTGAATTCCATCTGAACCAACTGAACCTCAGAACAGAATCCACTGAACCAAAGCGTTTACAGAACTAGAAGGGGTGGTTATATTATCAAATCCCGACCTTGTTCAGTTGTTTCGAGTTTGGACATGAGGAGTAGTGGATGGCATCCAATCCAACCAAGACCAGGGCTTTTGTTTCTAACACTTTTATCGTCTTCTCCTCTAGTAAGATTCCTAAATTTTTCTGCCGTTTGAACTGTGACGGCCTATGTCAGGTAACAAGCTCACTAGAGATGCATCAATTTTGATGAGGAAGAATTTGTCATGGAACTAACTTGACTTTGACGTGTCCGATGTCAGATTTCCCAAAAACCTGACGTTTTGGAATTTGCTATATAACAGGATTCGAGGAGCATTTTGGAACAGATCTGCAAAGTGCAATGGCTAAAACTGGGTTATAATCAAGGGTTATTTATTAGAATATCCTCTATAGTTTTACAGATTTACTTAAACCCTATAATTTGCATTTATTAAAACACCTTTTATAGTTAATAATGTAGGGATGACAATTTTCTCCATAAAATCAGGGCCCTGCCCTATTCCGAATGGGGTGGGTTTTCTCCCACCTTAAATAGGGATGGTGCACGAAAGGGGAGAATATTCTTGCCCCAAACTGGGGACGGAGCAAGGATGAGATTTGCATTTAATTCATGGGTTTAGTATTAATTTCTAAAATACTTATAAGTTACCCCTAAATTTTTAAAACCTTAAGATCCCATAATTTCATTTTTTATAATATTCCCAAATTATCATAATCCAATTCCTAAGATACCTCAAATTCCCATATCAATAAGATGTATTTTTAGGTAATTGCTAAAATACTTTTAATAAGATGTATTTACTTAATCAACCTTTCATTAAAAACTATTCATTTTTTCCATATGAAAAGCGCAATATGATCACTTAAACTGAGTGGAAAATGTTTTAAGGAATAGACACATGGTTATGAGTATGGATCTATGATTGTTTATTCCAAAAGAATCTTTAATACTTTTTTTATAGAAAATAAAAGGTCAAATTTCTAAGGCTTAGTAAATTAATGAACTCTATCATTAATGTTTATATATTATATTAAAGTATTCCCAGGTTTTCTAACAATTGTGGTAAATGCTAACAAAAATGATGAAATATCAATTTTACCCTTCCATCAAATTATGTTTCAAATAAATATCCGCTGCAATATACGAAAAAGGAGAAACTCCATTACCTGCAACGGTTAGCATGGCAACTTTGCAACCAATATTATGACGATGAAGAAGAAATTTTTTTGGTAAAAGATGGTGAAGAAGGAAAAGATAAAATGATCATTTTGTCCATGTAAAAATTATGAAACACTTGGAAAGAGAAAAAAAACACACCAAACAAGGTGACAGCTGCAAATCCCGATAAGATCTCCGATTACTGGTGCAAATTCCAACAAGATCTCCGGTTACCGCTTCAAATCCCGGCAAAAAAATCTCTGAGCGCACTGAAACATCACGTCTTTGCAAAACCTCGATAACCCAGAAATCCAGAAATCTCAATTATGGTGACGATGAAGAGAAACCCAAAAATATCAATTATGGTGGAATTCTGATAAAAGGGCATCGGCTTTGTTCTTCTAAACTCTAAAGCAAAGAAATTTATGAGCTTCTAGAATTTGTAAAGGGACTAAGTAGGGAGGTTGAAGAAATTGGGGGATTCACTAGGGTTTTCGAGGACAATGAGGAAGGATCACAAAGGGGAGTGAAGGATCTTAATAGGTTAGAAATGGTGATCTAATCCACCCAAAATCATTGTTCATCTCTTCAACTTTGTGATGCGAATAGGGGCGGCGGCTACAAGTTCTCTCTCCGACCCCCTCTCTCTCTTCCTCTTCTCTCCTTTCCCTTCTTTTTCTTCTTCTTCTTCTTCCTTTCAGTTCCGTCATCTCCGTTCTCCTTCCCCTTCTTTTTCTTCTCAGTTTTTGTCATCTCCGTTCGGATGACATTGTGGGCATTCTTGAAACATTTGAATTACTGTCTTCTAATCAAGGTCGTTGAAGTTAAAGAGAAGACTGCTGGTGGCTTGCAACTGACAGAGGCAACAGAAGAGAAATATTCCATTGGCATGAGTGGAATTCTGACTTCCGAGGACCACTATAGATAATTAGATAATCACGTTCCTCATTAGGGACTTCGGCTGCGGTGAAGATCTTCCCGAAAAAATTCACAACCCTTATCAACCTAGATTGAAGTATTGACTCGGAAATTTGAAGGCATATCACTCTCTTATTTTTTGATTGTAGGGACGCCATTGACACAACAAGATCGTCTATCTTATTTTCTGATTCCACGAGGATCATCTCCGTCCCACTTAGCAAATTCAAATCGCAGCAGAGACTGAAGCCCCTCCATCAATCGAACTTAGGCCAGAATCTCACAGGTAAATTCTGTTTTCATCGCCCCCTCTTCCGTGGCATTGGTGCCCTTGAATCTTCTCTAAACCAACTCTGTTTTTCCTCCACCTCCTTCAAAATCTCTCCGAGACATTGTTGCTGACACCATCTCCAAACCCATTTCCATGCCTTTTTTGCTGGAAAACCCCAATCTAAAGCCATTGTCCCCTTGGCGCCGGCGACAGTTGAAGTGTTTCTTTCCTGTGGGTTTTGATTGGTCAAAACTCTTTCGTCTCAGCATTTGTTTCATGACCCCGCTGAGCTTCTGACCGATTAATTGTTTACGCCACCCACATCCTCAGTGTCGTTAAACCCTATTACAAGAGCAAATTCACATTTGAAGCTTCTACAGAGAGGCGTGCTTTTCTAGTTGTAGTCTTCGAAGAGCGAGTAAGAAACAAGAATCCTAGAGAGAATATATAGAGAGAGAGAGAGATTTGTGACATTAACGTGGAAGATATCAGACATGATCCAAGTTTAGGCAGAGTTTGGAAGGAGTGTAAAATCTTATATTTTGTATTATTTTATATGTATTTATGCTGTATATATTTGTATTTACACTGTTTCCAAACTCGTCCCGTCTAAAGTATATTTTTTATTATAAAAGAGTATTTTTAGAATTTTTGAAAAATATATCAATTACGTGATGTCTTATGGAATGTGACAGGAAGATTATAAATAATTGTTAAAAAATTTAAGAATACTTTAAAATAATATATAAACAATAAAAGTAGAGTTAGTCAATTTATTAAACCTTAAGGATATTTTAGAAAGTGCCCAAAATAAAATTGATGGAATAGAGAAAAAAAGTGGTTGTCCATAGGGGCAAAAATAATATTTTTGTTATAATTTTTTTATTAAATTTTTATTCGAATAAATGTTAAGATTAAAACTATAATTTTTCAATTTCATTAATGGAAGGTGGATTCCTTGAATGTTTTAGAAAAACCTATAGGATAGGTTTTAGTAAGATTTTAGTTGTTGATAAATGATGAAATTAAATTTCTCAATCAACACGAGCGATAGACGTGCGTAGAATTTATATCCGGACTCGGGTCGCTTATTGTTCAATGAAGTTGTTGCAACGGAAAAAAGAGTCGGCTCCGTATCATCTCTAAGTCCAACGGTCCAATCATGTTCATTTGTTTGGGGGGTCAATGAACATAATGGAGGGTGTTATGCGTCATTTTCCACCTCCGTATCCGGTTACAACTTACAACCCAACTATACATCGCAGAATTCAACTTGACCAAATGAACATGATCCCATAAGATGTATAGATATGCGTTATTTGACTATAATACCCTTGTAGCCACGCGTGTCCAGCACGAAGCGTAACGTACGAAATTCATGATGTATTGTTATCCATCCCACGTGGCAAGATTGGTGGTTCAGATCGAAGTTCAGGCTAAGAGTAAATAAGCACGTGTTTTTTTCATTATGAACGGTTGGGATGAAGGCACGTCATTCTCAAATTGTCGTTCAGCAGAAGGAAGGGGAGAGTGGGACCCGCTGAGGGGTAGACAGAGAGACAATACTCATCATCGCTCAAATCAGATATTTTATATTTTTTTCAGCACCAAAAGCCAACGCCCGTTAGCTTGTCAAGTCGCGTGTCCGGAACTCGGGAAAGAAATCTAATCTTCTTCCTCTCTTTTTTTCTCTCTCTGCCTCTGCATAATAAATAACGACCATCGAAGCCGGGAAGAAGGAAATAGAAGGAAAGGAGAGGAAGATTGCCAGAGTGAGAGAGAGACTCTCTCTCTACGGGGCTCTGTTTGTTATAAATGTGAACTGTGGAGTTTCTTTCGAATTTGGAGCTGGAGTAGATACCCCTTTTTTTTCAGATGGAAGCACCGAATTCGGATAGGGAAAAGAGTGACGGGTCATTGGATGGATTCTCTCCAATTACTCCTACGCGGATTTTCTGGAATTCTAGGAAAAGATCCGGTAATTTTAAATCCCCCTTCTAATTTTTCTTCTCTCTCTCTCTCTCTGTTTGTGAAAATTTGCATGATTTAGAGATACCCATATGTCCATTTGTTGGGATTGATCAGAGTTCATTTTGGAACTGTGATGGGTTTCTGGCTGAACTTTAGAGTTTAGTCTGAGAGATGAGACCAAGATCTGTTGAGCTTTAGTTCTGTATATTTTTTGCGTTTGTAGCCAATTAGAAAATTGTCCGGTTGTTTGGTGACAGTTTTACTTGGAAAAGCCAGAGTAGATTGAAGTTTCTTGTGCAGAACTCCAAAATTGTCCGTTTGTTTGGTGACAATTTTACTTAGAATGCTGGTTGCTTCAACCCATGGTGCGTAATACGAAAGGCTTCAAAACACTCGTCCTTCGTTTTACAGTGTTTGTCTTTTCATAAATAGACGTTGACGTCGTGAGTTCGTTTGCACTGGTGCAAAAGTATGGAACTACAAATGATTAAATGCAATTTCTGATTTACTTTTGTTTCAACTTTCAACTTTCCACTTTCCACTTTCCACTTTTGCTTTATGTTGCTTGTATTTTGTAAATTTGCCTACAAAAACCGGATGCAAAGTAAATTAAAAGCCATAGCAAAAGTGGACCAAAATTTGCACTCATGCATTTGTAGTTTGTACTAATGCAAACAAACAGAGCCATTGCTCTTAAAACTTTCTTTCTTCTCTCCAAGAGAAAAACATGGGATGACTGGGATCTGATGCTCAAATTTTATCTTCTTTAAGATACCCAGAAGCAGAAGCTCCTCTATTAAACTCACAACCACCATTGACACAACGGTTTCTGAATTTTGATTTGTCCTGTTTGCTTTTCCAGTAGACTAGAGACCATTGGTTCTAAGTCTTTACTTCACAAAAGAAATCTAACATGATGGCAGTTGCCATTTGCCAACAGAAAGTAGTAGGAGTCTAGATAAGGCAACAGAAGAAGCACCCAACAAAGCTGAGGAGCCTCCAAAGACCACTGATGCCCCAGTTCAGGACTCGCCTACAGCCACTGTAGTTCTTTCARAGCGTCGAAAGGCTCTCTTCGAACCACTGGAGCCAACAATGAATATAAATGGCCGTCGACCCTCTGCTGAGATGTTACTCCCTCCACCTGATTTTGATTCCACGACCTATCCTCGAGGCTGGTTGATTGGGAAGAAAAGGAAGCTCGTAAATGTGGATGTGGTCGAGATCATGCGCAGGATTGCAGTTCAGGAAATGAACAGAAAGGTGGGTAGCTTATCATCCTTTATGAATGGACAGGAATGGAAAATGGGTAATTTTTTTAAGTGATTCTTGGCCTGGTTATGAAATACAGGATAGGGAGATTGATGGGTTGAATGAGCAATTGGAAGAGGATGCACGATGCCTTGAGCATTTGCAACTTCAGCTGCTGCAAGAACGGAGCAAACGGGCAGATGTGGATAGAGAGAATAACATGCTGAAGAACCAAATCTCCATGCTGATGAACATGTTGCAGGAGAGTGAAGCTGTTGATGAAGGGACAGAGGATTCTTAATAAATATCTATTAGTTAATTTGTTGTATCCCCAACCCAACCCATAATAGTTGGGATGAGGCTTTAGATGAGATAGAGATTAATTTGTTGTATGCTGTTAAATTCATATGTGCATAAATTGGCGTGTATGTGGCTGTAATTCATTCTGTGAATACTTCATCTTGCTGTTAGTATGTGTTTCTACATAAATTTGAACAAGAACAGTTAATGAAATTATTATTTGGATTATTTGATTATTTATATGAATTCTATGGTGCTGCTCCCCATCAGACGATTCATGACATGGTAAACCACAAAAAGAAATTTTCAGTTAAAGTTCTAAGGGCAGATACACAATTGTTACAATGGGAAGTTGAGAACCCTGATTTATTATTATACATGAACATGCAGAAACAAACTAAAATGGAACTACTAGTCTACTGCTAACAACTAGCTCCCTAGAGAAATCAGGATTCATCATCAAAATAAATCTCCGAATCCTAGAACTATGATGGGCTACATGCATATTTCCATTTCCGGGAGAGAAAATGAAGCCTCCAATACATCTTTTACATAACGAAGTATGGTCCACGGTGGGATTAAAGATCGCTATCTAGCTTGATTTTCTCCATCCTCTGAGATATGGAACAAGAACTGTGGCAGAGATGCGATGCGGGGTAGATTAAGCAGCAGATCACCAACCGAGTCCTTCCTTGATATAGATGGTTGCTGCTTGCATCCAGAGACATCATTGGACTCACCCTTGGTCGCTGGAGTATCATCACCGAGAACCTTGTTCTCGCAGGTCGAGTCAGGGACTGAAATAGGTTGACCATCTTTGCCATCATCAGGCCCATCTAAGTCATCATTACCTTGATTGTTCTGAGCAAACGCAGGATCCTTCTGTAGCAGACAGCAAAAAGAATCGACTCTAGATATGAGGGATTGAGAATTGACTCTTGACATTAGGGATTGATCATCAGAACCTGATGCAAGCTGAGAATCACCAAGTAGGCATTGTGCAATCTCCTCGAGCACATCCCTGTTTTGCAATTCTTCATCAGAGAAAAGTGAATTTCCAGATGTCATCTGTTCAGATAAGCAATTGCCGATGTGGTTCACCAGGTCAGTCATTGACATTGACGGATGTATTCCAGGCACTTTGATCTGATCCCACTGGATTATCTCCCTTGATTCTTCAGCCTGACCGCTGCTGTTTTCTTCAATTGCATGGGCATCCATCACTAGAATAAGACAAGTTACAGACGAAGTAAGACGCAAAGTATTTTTTTCTTTCTTTGATTGGTAAGACACCGTGAAGTATTGACGTCTGCAACCCAATAAATACATCCGGCCCCCAACAAGGGAAAGGAAAGGGGAAGGGGGACCATCACAACATAAATTTTGATGGATACACCCCTCTATACACTTTTAGATCTAAAGCTACACATGTCAATTAGGTTATGCTCTATGACATCATCAGCTTAGGCTCCATATGAACAGATTTTTCTTGGAGGTTTGAAGATTATAATAGAAAGCCCCAAATAATACGGGAAAGAAATTGGATGATTGGTCTATCCCATCTATAATTAAACCCTGCAGTCGAAATGGCTTCAAGAAGATTGGATGATGGTTTTTTTCAATTTAAAAATCCGGTCGTGTGTCAACAACAGACAGACTTTAAAACACCTTGGAAATGGCTTCAGGAAGGTGAGCCTTCACTATGAACTCATTTGGATACAACGTGTTTAAAATGCATTAAAAAGTCAACGTTTCAAAACAGCAATAACAATAACATTAATAACAATGACAATGATAACTGAAGCGCAAAAACAGAAAGTGATAATAAGAAGATTGATAACATGATGATGTTCGGAACTTGGCATGGGTATTCATGGTAACAGAACTGAGCAAACAATTAACAAAATGTAACAATATAAGTTTAACTTCAATGTTATAATGTCAAGATCTACTATAAATTGAAGCATGAAAGAGAACTAGTTATCTATTTACTCACATGGATCCAAAATAGATAAGATTTAAACTCAATGTTCCCAGAAGAAAGGGAAAAAATTAAAGAGATGAATTGATGTTGCCCACAAAATCCACAGAAATAAAACACATGGATTAAACAAATGTATTATGTACATACACATGCATGTATGCATGTATTTACATGTAATAGATTGATGAACCAAATACTACCAAACTTCCTGAAACAATAAACTCTTGCCATTACCAGTATCTCATAAAAAAATCGAGTTCTGTGAAAGATAACTAGTCCCATCTTCATTAGTTAAACTACACATATTCCCTCTACCAGTCACCAGAGATAATGATATATATATTAGGGAGGACAAGGAAAAGTGAGAATGAGAATACACTACTTTAATATATGTATGTGTGTGTTATTTTGGTAGAAGAATGATACTTTCCAGGAAGATGGAAATTGAGTCACAAAATAAGCCCCATATAGATGAAATGCTTAAAGGTTTACAGAATATCAAGCTCCATATTTCCAAATTCCAACGACTTATATATAAAAGATACATGAATGTACCTGAGCTGGGGGAAGGTGTTTCCCTGGATAAATGCTCTGGTGTTCTTCTAACAGTATCAAGTAGTTCACTCTTCACAGAAGATTGAACAGCAGATGGAGATGGTGTGTCCCGGAGAGCAGAGAACCGGGTTGCATAATCACTGTTCAAAGCATCAAAACCATGGCATTTGTTTTCATGTCGATCCTCAAAAACAGAACCTCTTGTTTCAAAAAATGGAGAATCTAATACTATCTCCGGTTGTTGACTCAGCAAGTTTAATCGGAGATCACACTGGATAAGCTTTTCAAAATGCTTATTTAACAACCCCTGTGGCACCTGCAGAAAATGTCGCCTGCAACCACAAAATTAAATAACATTCAAAAGCTGTAATTGCAAATGAAAAAACCCCAGGACCCAGCTTAACATCACTTGTCTGTATAACATTTATAACATCAATGCTTCCCAATGATAAGGTACTGAAATATTGTGAAAGAATGAGGGAAAGCTCAATGACTATAGACCACTTGGACCAAAGTAATGGATAGACCTAGAAAAATTTCACTTACGTTCATAATCAAATATTCTATTCAAATGGATTACAGGTGCTCATTGTTGTGAGATGAATTAGAGAGACAAAGAGAGGGGAAAGGATAAACTGATAGAGACGAAGGAAAAAATATTCAACAATGGAATTTACTTAACCACTCCAATAAAGAAAGAGAAAGAAATTGCCCCCACTTCCAACCCAGCTACCCTGAGAAAATCAGAAAAGAATAAGTAAAGAGAGAAAAACTAAATTACTACAAGAAACAATATGCTCCATAGGAAATTGCGATCCTGTTCCCGCCAAAATGTACAGGCCTCCACCATTATATGAACTCAACTTGTCCCAGAGGCCTGCTTTATCAAAGGACACTATTGCAGTTAAAGAAGTAAAAAAAAAGAGAATCAACAAATGAGTTAATATATCAGAGGTAACTAATCAACTACCAACTTTTTATATGCATGTTTGGTACACGAGTACAAAAGCCTTTGTAATATGCCTTCCCCTTCTCTAGAGCACAGTTCAAGAGCTTATCTTTTTAACAAAAATTGCAATACAAATTGTGAAGAAAGTGAAAGGGAATCACACACTCAGAGGGGGAAGAAAATACATCCCTTCTTTTCTCATGATTAATTATAACTTATCTTACGATTTCTTCTAGGTTCAAAATGGACACTTTAGGTCAACCTTACCACCAACCAATGCTCACTCCTAAGGACATAATAGATAGCACAGCCCGGCCCAAGGTACTAATTCCTCAATTCAAGAAAAACCTAGTTTGAGTAAGGTTAGGACTTTATAAATGCCCATTTAGGAGGGCTTTCACATTGCTGTTTTAGCATTGCAAAGTAGGGTCCACCCAGCAAGACCACAAACAATGTTTTGTGAGAAATATGGAAAGCCCAAATTGACTACTTTTCAACCACTTACATAGCTCTTCATTGAAGCTTCTTTTAAATGGCTTAAAGCAGCTTAGCTAAAGCAGCTCAACCAAAGCTTAAGCCCTCTGGCCCCTCCAAAGTGGGCCTATGTTTGGTGGTCTGTGTTGAGCTACAGAAGTACAGAGTCACAGTCAAAAAATGACTTAAATAATGAAAAATAAGGTTCCTAGGCCCCCACCCTCAAACAGGCCATATAAATCTTGGTTTTCATTTCACCATCATCCTAAATACAGACTATACAGTCCCACGTATTGCTAACATTTCTAAACTTTTTTAATTAAGCAGACTCAAACCCAAGGAATAAATAAGACAGAGACAACCAGGCCAACCAATGCTTTTAGATGCATTCATGTCAAGACTCAAGAATGGGATGGTTCTGCACGAAATGAAGTTTGGCAATTGAATTTCAATGTATGTGCCTTAGGCAACCCAGGACCATCCAGGGTGGGTGAGCAAGAGAATTTAGAAATCAAAATGGTATTTCTATCATTACCATAATGGTGACATCTTAGATAAAAGAATCAATGTAGGGAGACTTTTCCATTCAAAAGTTTCTTTATGTGCACAAGGTCAAATTAAGGAAAAATGCTTCTCAAAATGCTGAGGCCCTTCATTGGACAGATCCAACAGATGCAAAGGAGCCAAAGCAACATGACTCTTCCAAATAATCAGTTATAGGGTCAACAAATCAAGAGTTAGAACTAAAATGCTTGTTTGATCTCCTTACTTAACTTCAATAAACTCCTTAAAATTTTCTTCTGCTCCATCAGTTTAACAACCCCTAAATGCTGTTCCCAATAGGTATCCAGCACATGACCCTTTGTCTATTTTTCCTCCAATTTTCATCTAATTTCATCTTTGTATGGCCACTTCTCATCTGACTTCAAAATTCTCTTCAAGCCCTCCAATTAAAAAATTAGCACTCCAATACAATGCATGTTCCCCTACAACTGAAGATAACATCATATCCTTCTTAAAATGTAAAAAAAAAAAAAAACAAACAAACAAGGAGAAGGGTAACCACAACTATAAAATACAAAAAGGAGATGCTAAAGCAGTTGTTAGCAAAGAAAGCCCATCTTGGAAACCACACTCCTATAATATGAAGAAAAAGTAGCCAAAGAGCTTACAGTTAAAGCTTCTTCAATTGAATAATGGATGGTAAAGAGCACACTGTAATATGCTGAATGATCTAGTAAGCAAAAGGAGTAAGAAAATTTCATTCTATTGTACCTGTGTAGGCTTGCCTGTCCACCAGTGAAGTCTGAAGTTGCCTGCCACAAGGTGTGCTTCCTTGGCTGTGGATTAGTCTCCTTAAAGAAAAGAGGCTGCCTGGCGAGCTAAAATATTCAAACAAATGACAGTGTCAAAATAAAATAAAGCGAACATCAAAAAACAATAACAACAAGTGCATAAAATTACCAATATATCTAAAGTTCCAGGTCCATTGTCAGGGCAATTTGCCTTCAGAGCCATGATATCTGACCATTGGATTTCTATTTTACTCTTGAGACCTCCTTCAAGAACCTCCCATACAAGTTTGTGCTTGGCAAAGTAACACTTTGCCACTAAATCGCCTTCATATCTCGAAACACACTGCGACATAATAGAATTTCAATGAATTTCATGTTGTGCACAAACCCCAAAAGGTTGCATCTATTTGAACTATTAGTAGACCAACGTTACTGGAAAATACCTCCCAAGTCCCAATTCTCAGAAGTGACGCTGGAAAGTTGGAAGCCTTCAGCTTATCAGTGGCACCTGAAGCTGGGCCCTTAGAGTCCATCTTTTTATCCAATTCAAGATGTTCACTTGGTCCATCTCCTAATGTATGAGCATTTCCCTGAGAGAGCTTCATTTGAATCAAATCCAAAAGCGACGGACTCTTCTTCAGCCGTAACCCCAATGGGCTTGGCTCATCAAGTGGATTATATTGTGATGGAGGGATTGGACACGCGCTGCTTCCCGAGCTCCATTGCTGCAACAGCCGACAAACAACGCAAAGATGGGGTTAAGGGTCAATTATATAAAGATTTAATCCCAAAATGACCAGTAAAGCCAAACAGTCACAAATCAGATCAGAACAAATAACGACGTCGGTTCATTAGAAACTAAAATAGCTTTCACTGAATGCAACTGCATAAAGTAGTTACACATATAATCCACACTACCAATCTAAAGAAAGAAACATCAGCATTAAATGCCAAATAGTTAACAAAGAGCAGAAAGGGGAAACAGTAAGCTTTGCCCTCAAAAATGGATCAGAAAGCTGAATCTCGAGATAAACAGAAACCCCAAAACAGAGCCAAGTAGCCAACAGAAAGAAAAGATAATCAAACCTGCTGGTTAGGCGGGGGGATCTTAGGCTTCTTCTCGAGCGGACCGTGTTCTTCGTCTAAAGTGTCTTGAATTTCCAACTTCACCGGCAACTTATTCCGACATGACGCCTCAGATTCCGGTCGGATATCACCGGAATTCATTGGCTGAACCATCAAACTCCCAACCACACAGAACACAAAACCAAAGAGATCGAAACAAAGGTCTTTCCAAACCCTAAAATAGGACAAAAACACTGCAGTCCCAACGTCTCAACTTCAATTTCCCTGGCAAATCTGATTCGATTCCTCCAACGACGAAACCCTGATAAAATTGCCTCGAAACCCCAACCCTATCCAAAAATCCTACTCTACTCGCCGTTTCTGGTGAAGGATCGGAGAACGGAGATTCTGAAGACCCTACGAAGTCTTCTCTCTCTCTCTACACAGACGGAATCAGAAATCTTTAACGGAGTCAGTGGACAACCTTGACGGCAAGCACGTGACATTACACGTGCCGAAGGACGACTCGTCGCACGTGCAGGTATGACGAACAAGACGGGAATTCCGAAGTGTACAGATTCCGAGAACTTGGACGAATATTGGCGTCCTGAAATTACTAAACCATCCTCCAGCTCAAAACTCAAAGCACCACTCTACATCTGATCGAGGGCAATTAAGTCATTTAAAGTATTCTTCAAATTGGTGGATGGAAAAGGAAAAGAAATCATCAAACCAAGTTTGTCGGCATTTCCATTTGAGGACTTCCGGCACGTGCGTACGGACACGTATGGCAAATCTGGATATATGTGGGACCCAGTTCGTGAACCATCTGAACGTTTTTGTCGTGACTCGTTTCCTTTTTCTTGGAGCCAACCGATCATAGGTTGCTGTTGACACGTGGCGTTAAACCGAGCGGTTGGTTGTCGGAATTTGACGTAAGCTGTCTGACACGTAAGACTTAGAACTGGGAATCCAAATTGCCTTTTGGATAAAGTTGGAGAAATATGCTTTTATTAGACTAATAATTAATTAAGTACGTGTGTTGCATGTATGGTTTTCAAAATCGGACCGAATCGGACGGTTGGACCGGAAAAACGGGACCGGTCAGGTGATCGGTTCCATTTTACCCAAAAACCATTAATTTGCCCTAAAACGTTGGTTTGGTCTGTAAACCGCTGACCTGGGTGATCGAACCGTTTAATGGTTTTGACTGTTTCTTTTTATTTTTTTATTTTTTTATTTTTTGTCAAAATAGGTCGTTCATTCAATTCGAATGGTCGGACCATTCAACTCGGGAACTGAACCCTTGATCGGTTCATTGTTCGATTTGGTTTTAAAAACCTTGATTGCATATAATGAATAGATATATTAAGATAAAAAATGAAAATTTATAAAAAGTAATAATATTATTAAAAATAAATTTAAATGTTTGTAGTAAATATGCATGTGCATTGTACATGAAAATTTTAAAGTACAATAACAATTGGCTGAACTAACTTACAATTTCAACAAAATTCTATACTTTTTCATTTTTTGTGTTCTATCTTTTTCTTAATATTTATTATTTAATTACGACATCATGGATTTCTTTGAAAAGTTAGATAATTGACCCACCATCCAAATAAGAAAGTAGTTTTGCTTTCAGATCAATTCTAAATTATATATTTCATCTACATTATATAAATAATTTTGACTTATCACACTTAATTTTTGTTTCACATAATTAATATATATTTTTTATTACTTGTACTTTTCTATTTTTTAAAGATTTACTATTTAACTATCATATCATCAATTAATCCATTTGACCCAAACCAGCCAAAAAGGAAAAATAGTTTGATTTCTAGATTAATATTAAATTTTGTACCATCATTAATAAATTTTTTTCTTATATAATACTTACTATTGTTCAAAATGAATGCATAATATTAGAGATGTACCCAATACTTTTTATTTTTTATAAATATATAAAATTAGATATGTGTCCAATTTTTTTCTATTTTCTATTTTTGTGAATCTTTGTATTTTTATTTTTTAAATTTTTATTATTTGACCATGATGTCATTTCATTTCTAGGTTGATTTTTTAAATTTGCAATTCCATTTTCATCATTAATAAAAATACTTCTTACATTTCACATTTATTTTTGTTTAATATAATGAATATACAATATTTTAGATATACCCATTTTTTTTGCATGATATATTTTATTTGTTTTAATTTTTTTATTATTTAATTATGACATTATTTATCAACCCATTTGACCCAAAATGGTTGAATTTCTTACCTTGCACCAAGAGGGAAGAAAATTGTTTTGCTTTCAAATTAATTGTTAAAATATTTTTTTATACTATTAAAATTAATGTTGTAGATTTAATTAGTAGAATTTAATGATGAGAAAAATATATCTTAAATATAGGATTTAATGAGAGAATATACCTTAGATTTGAGATTTAATGAGATAGAATAGGAAAATAGTTTCATTTCCAATTGGTTTTAAATTTTACATTCATTTTTCATCGTTAAGAAAAACATTTCTTATTTATCCTATTTATTATTGTTTATATGACGAATAAATGATGTCAAAAATGTTCCCAATTTTTTTAATTATACATTATTTGTGTTTTATCTATTTTTTAATTTTATTATTTAGTTGTGACAACATGAATTTTTATTTTAACAATTAATTTTATTTAATATGATGAATATAGAACATTAGAAATGTTCTCAAATATTTTTAATAAAATTTATACTTTTTATTTTTTTTTGTTCTATCATTTTTTAATATTTATTATTCAATTATGACATCATGAGTTTCTTTGAAGAATTGATCCAATGATAGACCCATCATCTAAATAAGAAAATATCTTTGTTTTCATATTAGTTTTAAATTATATATTTCATCTACATTATATAAATAATTTTTACTTATCACACTTAATTTGTGTTTGACATAATTATTTTATTCTTTTGATTACTTGTACTTTTTAATTTTTTTAAATATTTATTATTTAATTATCATGTCGTCGATTAATCCATTTGACCCAAACACTAACCCACCACCCAAAAAGAAAAATAGTTTGCTTTCTAGGTTGACATTAAATTTTGTATTACATTTCCATAATTGACAAAATTATTTCTTATGTATAATACTTATTTTTGTTCAATATAATGAATGTATAATATTAGAGATAGACCCAATATTTTATTTTTATAAATATATAACATTAGATATGTATCAAAAATTTTCTCTATTTTTTTTATTTTTGTGATTCTTTGCATTTTCTACTTTTACAAATTTTATTATTTGAGTATGTCATAATTTTGTTTTTATGTTGATTTTAAATTAGGAATTTCATTTTCATCATTAATAAAAATACTTCTTATGTTTCATACTTATTTTTGTTTAGTATAATGGATATATAATATTAGAGATATGTTCAATTCTTTTTTTTGTATTATATATTTTATTTATTTTAATTTCTTATTATTTAATTATGGCATTATTTATTAACTCATTTGACCCTAAATGGTTGAATTGCTTACCCACCACCGGGAGGGAAGAAAATAGTTTTGTTTCCAAATTATTTATCAAAATATTTATTTTTATACTATTAAAATTAAAGTTATAGCTTTAACCAATAAAATTTAATGATGAAAAAAAGATATCTTAAATATAGGATTTAATGAGAGAATATATCCAATTGGTTTTGAATTTTACATTCCATTTTCATCATTAAAAAATATTTCTTATTTATCATACTTATTATTATTTAATATGTTGAATATGTGATGCTAAAATGTTCCCAATTTTTTTAGTTTTTATATTTTTCTTTTTATCTATTTTTTAATTTTATTATTTAATTGTGGCAGCATGGGTTAACCCATTTGACCCAAAATGGTTTAATTTCTTACCACCACCTAGATGAAAACACTATTTTTTCTGGTAGATTCGAAAAGTATAAGTTTTTATCTTATTGAAATTATTAATTTATTATGTATGGATTTAATTAATAGAACTTATTGATGAAAAGAAACAAAAATGTTTTAAATGTACGATTCAATGAAAGTGAATGTAAGTTAATTTCTTAAATGTTGGATTTAATGAGAGAGAATTGAATGCATTGAATGACTTAAAATTATCTCTTTTCAACTCATTTAATATCAATAACCGATTACCCTATTTGCCCTTATTTTTTATCAATAAATTTAAATATAGAAGGGTAACTTTTGTTCTTAAAGAATTCTAGAAATACTCTTGATGTTATTGGCGTTTTTTAAAGTAGTATAGATTTCTGTAGTGAGAAATGTATACGCGCTACTTGGATTGTAATGGATTTCTGGTCCCGTGGATGAAGAGATGGTCCCTGATTTGTGATTCAATTGTGTGGTTGAATGATGTTTTCTGGTTTTCTACGTGCTTGGATTTGAATACAGATTTAGCTATGACAATCAACCTGAATTCTATCAAATTCGGATTAGCTGAAAGCGATAGCTGTGTACTGTGTGTAGCCTGGTGCCGAACCAACAATAGCGCGGCATGCCAGCCATAAGTAAGAGAGATAGGATGTCGACTGATCCATCAGAACTATTTTGCCTTAACTCTAATTCTACTGGATCCAAAATTGATTATTAATTGGGACAAAATCACTGATTTAGAATCATCACAATTCATAGTCATGTTTATTAGGTTTGGACATGATAGACTCGATTATACTAAAAACTATAATTATTTATTTAAATAATAACTTAAATTTTAAATTTTGATAACGTAACCTTAATACAAATGATAATAAAGTATTAAATTATTTATGTGTTAATAAATTAAATATTTTTTAACTAATATCGTCTTACATATTTAAGCATGGTTTTGAAAAACGACTCGGAGACGGAATTAATGAGGGGTGATTTAGCCCGACCTAATAAGTAAAGGACACGTGGGTGCGGCCTGCCAGCCAGATAACAAATCAGCATGTGGTGCCACGTCAGCAAATCGCGGGACCTTAGGTGCTCGGTCACTTTGGAGTCGAAGCACCTCGGTACCCACATACACCAAGGTGGCACATAACCGAACCTAGAAGCTCGACCAGTTGCCTCCGAACTTCTCGGGATCATGTCACATAACTATAGGCCTTATCCTCGCCTCGCTTGAATTGGAGGGAAACGGTAAGCTTCATTAACTAGTACGTTACCCTCCTTCCAAAGTGGAACGGATCCCTATGTCATGGGCTGAGGATTCCAGGAGCGTTTTGCGAGACCTACGGCAACCCAGCTATATAAGAGCATCAACACCCAAAACTCAGGTATGTGCAATTACTTGCTCACGAGCTTACTTACGTTCAAACTTTCAGCTCGCAACCAGAGTACAATACTAACTTAAGCATCGGAGCAACCTTGCCGGGTTAGCCACCTCGGGTTCTCTAATCCTTTGTCTTTTAGCTTGGCCCA